ATATATATATATATTATTTACTATCTATTGTTTATTATGTATTATCTACCATCCAGTGAAAATCTGCCACGCTGATGGAAATTTGAAGAATATCGCACGCAACCGTAGACGATTCTCGACAAATAGATAAATAATAATATACTGGAACAACGAAACGTAGTCGCAGAGCAGCAATCTTTCAGCGGGATTTGTGAATCGTTCTCGAGATTTATCGCATCGGATCGCCTTGTGCTGTTTCCCAGGCTTATCGGGCTCGCTATTCTTCACTCTTTGCACTTAATCACGTAAATGCAAATCTCTCGGTTCGTTCCATTTCTGAACACGTGTCGTCGCTCGCCTCCCTTCTTTCTTTCTTTCTTTTTCACAACGAAACCGGGCGACACACACACAGATGCCAGAACAGTATTCATGCTCTGACGTAATTGTTTTGACATGGTTAATCATCGAACTCCTTGTTTTTCGATGAATGGAACGCTGCGGCGAGCAGCATCGAGGAATCGGTTCGCAACAAAAAAAAAAGAAAAAAGACCGAATCATCAACCGAGTCGAAAGTGAACGCTTTCAAAAACTACATCTCGCGACGAACATGTGTGACTCGGATGGAAGCTCGCCAAACCACACGTGTTCGCCAATCCAGAATTAACGGAATCGTCGATTATCGGCACACCACGACGTTTCGCGATAATACAATGAATTCTTTCTAATTCGCGATCAAATCGTGCAGAAAAATGGACAATTTGGGAAGAGGAGACGCGATTGTTCGAGCCTCGCGGCTCGTTTTTATAGTTACCGATTGTCAACAACTCTGATAATAATTTTATAATTATATATTATATTATTATATAATATTATAATTATTATATGTAATATTATTTTATAATTATATTATATTATTATTATATATTATATTATTATAATAAACGGTTATCCGTTTATTGTAATAAAAATAGAATAATCGCATCTCCTCTTCCCGAATTGTCCATTTCCGTTTCCAAGCCGTGGGTCAATCAGGGAGAATTTACTGCACTCGAATTTCTCCAGATGCAATCGCATTCCCGAAGAATTATTCGACCGGCGCGCCTCCGATAATCGTTTCGTCGCAGTGCTCGAATAATTATTTTATCGAAGTGCTAAAAATTAGCGTGTACTTGATAAAAAATTCAGAACGCGGCACGTGCGTGCAAAATCACTTGCAGAAGCGTATACGCGTAATATCGAAAAGCTGCAAATTTACCGAAAGCAACTTTCTCGTTCGGCAAATCGATCGATCGATTCGGTCTCGCGGAACTTCGTGGAAAAAATGGTTGCAACATTGTTCGAAAACTCGACGAATCGTCGATTCGTATGATTCGAACGTCGTCGAACCACTTTACGACCGAAAATCTGTCGATCGTCGAACCGACGTGACTCGATGCAATTTCCTGCCGATCCGCAGAAATCGAATGCATTCGTTGCAGTTGGACAATTCGAATACATAGAACTGAAGCAACATTTTATGTTTTACATCCTAACAATTGCCTGAATAAAAATGCTTCCAGTTTCTCGACAACGAAACGTACCGCGAGGCCCCTTTTCCCAAAATTGTTCATTTTTGTGCGCGATCTCAGCGCGAATTAGGGAGAATTTACTGCAGTACCTACTTTGTGACGACGATTCGAGGATCCTTCGGAAAAGGCTTCGAAACGGTACGGTCAAAAGGGAGGAATAGAAAGTTTCCGCCCGTGAAAGTAAACGGTCGCCTTACGCATCAGGTAAGCCGTGTGATATAATCTCGAAACCGAAAAGTGCAGCCCGGTGCTACGCGCGCGCGCGCGCGCGTTTCCAGAATACATTACGTGAAAGTTACATCAGTGCTGATAAAACGAGAGCACGAGCATCATCATCATCATCATCATCACCATTGTCGTGCAGACGAAATATATCTTCGCATAAACTTTATCCTTCTTTGGACTTTGGATCAACGCGCGCGCGCGGTCTTCTCCTTTTCATACTAATCTCCTCCTGGCGCGTTACCGTTTTTGCTCGACGACGAGGATTTTTAGGGTGGGTGAATTGTGATCATTTTTTATTAACCCTTTGCAGTCGAGTGGTGACTCCGAGACACCACGATTTTAATATTTTTTCTTTATATTTAAACAAATTATTAATAGCGCAATTGTACTCATCTACGGCAGGTTACTTGCATTTTTCGATTGGTTTTCGTTCAGGTTCTATTAATCCTTTAGAATGTTCAACATTAAACCTAGATAATAATACTGATATCCCCTCCTCGTAAAATATATCTATAAAAAAGCCGTAAAAAATATAATAAATCTTTAAATTCTTCGAAACATTGCACTATTTTCTATTTTCTATTTTATATTGTATACTTCGTAATGGACATTCGCCTGTGATTAAATAAATATAAAATAAAGTAAAAATGAAATGAAGTGGTATAAAAATAAAATAAAGTAGTATAAAGATAAAATAAAGTAATGTAAAGATAAAATAATGTAATACAAATAAAATGAAGTAGTACAAAGATAAAGTAATAAAAATAAAGTAAAGTAAAGTAGCATGAAGATAAAA